TTATTTAAATACTAAAAACAAAACCACCTAACAACTTAGTGGGGGAAAGAAAACAGGAACATGCTCCCATGTTCTCCAAAATATTTGCAAACTACTAAAATACCCGGTCAACCCTTGACCAATTAGAATTATGGTCGATAGTATCGAGCATATGGTATCAGAGCTAAAGCAACCAAATCCCCTTTTGAAGAAAATTAGAGTTTTTTTAGGGGCTGAATTAGGGTACCCATCTAGAGTGCTTGTTAGGTCTCAAAGCCCCGCAGGTCAACTAGATCTACTTGTAAGCAAGAGGACAAAACTTGGAAGCAAGAGGAGAGATATCCACTGGTTGAGAATTTCGAGCCTCTGAGGTAGTAAGCATACCTAACGACGTGCTTCTTCATGACGAACTTCAGAAAAGGCTTCTTCTATATCAGGGAATGGTGACTGATTAACAATCGTACTTCATCATGATTGTTGTCCAATCAAAGACTAGTTCCTTTTGAAGTTGTTTCTATTTGATGCTGCAATTGAGCAAAGAGGTGTGGTTATGAGATACAAGTTGAGTTCTTCCCACAAGTCTAGTAGGCCTGAGAAGTATTGGGTGACAGTGTTATTGCCGTGTTTAATTTCTTTGAGTTTGGTGTGAATCTCAAAGATCAGAGAGGTATTATGGAGACCATAATACATACGTCGAGCTGCATCGCAAACCTAGGATGTTTTGAATAGATTTTCGACTAATTTTAAGGTCCTGTTAAATTTCTGAGTTTGGTACGAATCTCAAAGATCTGTAAGGAATTGACGAGGTCATAATACAAACATCAAGCTGTGTTGCAAACCTCCTTGGCTGTTTTGAAGAACAGATATCTATGACAAATTTTATGGTCCATTGAGTTAATAAGACAATTAAGAACAATTGAATTCTCAGCCTACCATACCTTATATTGAGGATTTGAAGGAGGTGCAAAGAGGTCACCAGTAATATACCCAAGCTTTGCACGACCACACATAACGATTTTGACGGATTTTGTCTACTGAAAATAATTTCTGCCTTCAAGCTTGTGGGCTGTGATTTGCAAAGAACCATTGTTAGGGTTGTAGAGTGACCCAATGGAGTTACTTCACTGATTTGGGCCAAAAGTCCCTTTAGTCTTAGAGGAGGCTCCGACATCACTCGTGGTCATTGTTGATGGAAGACAAAGTGAAGACTCACTGGTTACGTGAAACTAGGACTAGATTGGGACAAGATGTTAATCTGAAATCGATCTTGTTGAAAACAAAATCTAAGATCTATTAGAAGAGGACAATGGTTTTGAGGATGATTGATCGCCTTGACATGCTCACTGCAGATGTGAGCGATGAAGATGCCAGGGATGATGGACGGATCAGGAGGGTTACTCTGATACCATATAAAACTGTACACAGGAAAAGGAGGAAAGTGATTTTTCTTATTTTATGTGAATAATAGATAACTCCTATTTATACAACAAGAGTAGACAATAAGGAACATATATACAATCATTCCAATCCTAAAAGAAGGAAAGTGTATACAATCAAATCCTTTATGATTTGATTTGATTTCCAGCTGTTAGCATTTTGCTCTAGGTTTTATCGTTACATGTCATTGTGCTTCATCTCTATCCATATTAAAAAACACTTCATGCACAGTTGGCAAGGTTTTGGTCCTAAATCCGTACTCATACTTCATCAAGTTTCGCATTCAAACCAACCAAGAAAACACATACTTCGCCTCTTTTTATCTTCTTTTTGTACCGATGGGTATCATAATATTTTCTATTCTTCTTCTTTAAACAAGTGTGAGGCACACATCATGTCATTGTAATAGGTTGCTACTTTGTGTTCACCTTGTTACATCTTCCAAATTCGAGCATTCAATTCTAACTACCGCGAATGATTGTCCAAATCTGAAAGTGTTCCTCGAACCGCTTGCTAGACCTTGTGAGCTATGGGTAAAAAACGTGAATGGTTTTCCAATAGTCGGATCCATTGAATCGATTAATGAGGTTCTAACTATCAAATTTTTAGATTGCCACTTGTTATATTTTGGATGGTCAACGACCGTGGTTTGACCTCATAGTTCTAATAACCGAGTTTCTCTTTGTCGTCAATCACCAAACGGACGAGCTGAGACCATCTTGAGATATTTTTGCAATTCAATTTTATAATGTAATTTGGAGGGAATTACTTATACAACCATTGACGGTTACTTCAATCAGAAGAGGTAACATCATTGGTGACATTTGAGGAAGGTGACCTAGCCAACCGTGGCTGTCTTAGATTCATGATAGATTCCGTTAAAACAATTATAGCACATGAGAAGAATATGGTAGTCACTCTCTTATTTTTTTTCTTTAAGAGAATATAATACACTTTAAATAGAATAGCCTGGGGTCACATCGCATCCTCTAAATCCTACTTTCGAGTGGGATGTACTGGGTTCGTTTGATTTGATTTGGTTTTAATACATAGTGGAGAATGTTGATCAGAAAATTATGAAAGAAACTCCTGGAAATATCTCATAACTAGGGACCGGAGAAATCTCTCCCTTAATTTTAGGATATTGACTTCCCAAACTTATTGACATATTTCATGAAATCATATAATTTTTTTTTGATTAACCTGGATATCCAACCCGCTATGCGAGCCGACTAATCCCAGGGCGACCACCTACTTCGCAGATAGCTCGGAGTCACCGCATTTGAACCTCCGTGGCCACAAGGGGATTTTTATTCCTCCTTGGGACCCCCTGGTAGTTTTGACCTTTGGAGCCAAGCTCAAACCAATCAGGCACCACCCTTGTGGTTTGAAATCATATACATTGAAACTAGCTAGAACCTTGAAATCAACCTATTTTTGACAACACTCCTCAAGTTGGTGCAAAATATCTATCATGCTACCTTACTAAATGCTAGAATATGTGAAACCCCTGACATTCTTCCTGTTGATTTGCATTTTTACTACTTGGCTTTCTTGAGATTTAGCATATATAAAATGTATTCATTTTCAGTAAGCAATTTTCTGATGTCTAGTTGGTATCTTGTGTATTCCTAATATTGGCAAATGTTCTTGCAGAGAGATTGATGTTTTTCTCTGAGAGGTTTGATCCAAAATTATTTATAACTCGCATACACCAGTTTACTGCTGCAGCAGACTTGGAGGCGGGTGCTTTGGCTCTGAAAACTGACCTAATAGGAAGGACTCAACAGAGAAAACAGTTAGTTAAAGAAAATTTTGATTGCTTCGTCTCTTGCAAAACTACTATAGATGGTAGGTAGATGTAGGACATGGTATTTAATTCTTTCCATGGAAATTTACTCTAGATTTTCAACAGCCAACTCTTATGCTCATTTTTCTCTCAGACAGTGTTTTTGTCATGCTATACAAATAGGCTTCTTATGCTTTTTGACGGGGATGGATTTATTTTACAGATATCGAGTCTAAACTACAAATGATAGAAGATGATCCTGAAGGTTGTGGAACCGCTCATTTAAATACTTGTATCCAAGGAGTTAATTCATTGGCTAATCGTGCTTTTGAACCCCTACTTGAAAGACAGGTTGGGAGTGTTAACTTTTTAGACTAAGGTTGAGGTTCAGTAGATTCTTTTCTGCAACAAAGATCAATATATCGATCCTTTTCATTAGGCTCAAGCGGAGAAGATCAGGGCAGTCCAAGGAGTGCTTCAGAGGTTCCGTACCTTATTCAATTTGCCGAGTGCCATCCGCGGGAACATTAGCAAGGGAGAATATGACTTGGCAGTCAGAGAATACAGGAAAGCAAAGTCCATTGTCCTCCCTTCTCATGTATAGTAATTGATCTCCACTTTTTCTCAAAAAGGGCTTTTATATGCTTGGAACTAATATTATTATGCAACTGTCTGCTGAATATATATATATACACACATATAATGTTCTCTATATATTTAATTTCACCATCATCATTTGATTTCTGTGACTTTCTTAAATAGGTACAAGTAAAAGGAACCAATTATTCCAATCCAAAGAGAAACATACAATTTAAAGAGAGGGAAAAAGTTTATGTATTTCATCACCATGGAGAATACAATATTTATAGGGCTAAGATACAACAAACAACTCCTATAATAAAGGAAACAACCTTCTAGAAGATACAACTAACAACTCTTACAAACTAGGAACAAACAATCACTGGCGGATAATCAGAGTCAAGATTGATTTTGATAATCCTACACTTCCCCTCAAGCTAGCGTGAATATATTAATCATGCCCAACTTGCCAATAAGTTCTTTGAAAGGTCTTTTTGTTAGGCCTTTAGTCAATATCTCAGCTACCTACTGCGTTGTGTGTAAATAGACCAAGCACATTTCCAAAGTCTAGTTTTTCTTTTATATTCCACATGCTTAGTTCGATCATGGTGAACAGGATTGTATGCAATGCTTACTGCATAGGGGTTTCAAATGGTAAATGTAGTTCCTTCATTAGACATTGTAGCCATTTCCCTTTGCATATACCGTGTGCTACGACTCTGGATTTTGATTCAACACTACTACGAGATACCATTAATTGCTTTTTACTTCTCCATGTCACTAGGTTACCCTACACATAATTGCTATATCCATCAGTTGAGCGTCCATCGGTAATGGAGTCCGCCCCCGTCAGCGTTTCTGAACACTTTAATACCTATTTTCTCCTTTCTTAAAGTGTAGTCCTTTCCTGGAGTCCCTTTTAGGTACCTTAGCATTCAGTAAGTTGCTTCAAATGTCTTTCCTTAAAACCACAAGGGTGGTGCCTGATTGGTTTGAACTTGGCTCCAAAGGTCAAAAGTACCAGGAGGTCCCAGGTTCAAATCCAAGGAGGAATAAAAATCCCCTTGTGGCCACGGAGGTTCAAATGCGGTGACTCCGGGCTATCTGCAAAGCAGGTGGTCGCCCTGGGATTAGTCGGCTCGCATAGCGGGTTGGATATCCAGGTTAATAAAAAAATGTCTTTCCTTACGAGAGTGCATAAATTGGCTGAGAATGCCAACAAAAAAAATAGTATCTAGCCTTGTATGCGAGAGATAGATGAGTTTTCCCACTAGCCTTTGAAATCCTCCCTCTGTCAACCTCTAAACTATCTTCCTCAACTCCTAGTTTTTTTGGGTCCATTGGAGTGTAGGTTGGTTTACATTAAGAATATATTTTCTTTGTGAAATGGAGATTCCTTCTTAGTTTCTTGCTACTTCCATTATGAGGAAGTATTTAAGTGGTCCATGGCCCTTCATTTCAATCTCTAAACTGAGATAGGCCTTTAGTTGGTTGATTTTATCAAGATTATCTCTTGTCATATTTATGTCATCACCATATAAAATAAGGATAACATATATACGTTTTTTAGTGTTTGAAGAACATTGTGTGATCCGTCTATCCTTTATTGTACCCTTTGTTGATTCCCGCTTGAGTAAATAGGCTAAACTAGGGGTGTTAACGAACCGAGTTGAGTTTTCGTTTATTTGAGTCAGGCTCGAAAAAATATTATTAAGCTCGAGCTCGAATAACTTTTCGTAGTAGGGCTCAGCTCTAGCTCGATTATTTTTCCAATGTCCGGGCTCGAGCTCGAGCTCGAGCTCGATACTCGTTTACGAGCTTGAACTCAAGATCAATTATTGGCTCGACCTCAATAACTTTTGTACTTTGAGTATATTCTATATGAACATAGGAACATGTTTTGCTCGAATGGTTCGGCCTATCGAAAAGTTTAATCGAGCTTCCAAACGAACTGAGTCGAACATTGGTGTTATGGAGCTCGACTCGTTAAGTTAACCGAGTTTTAGTATATGTTCGAGATCAACTCGAACTCGATATTTATTAAGCTCGAGCTTGAGATAAACGAGCTCAAGCTTGAGTAGCTTGTTAAAAGCTCGACTCATGAACACCCCTAGGCAAACCATGCCGTTGGTGATATTTTAACTTGTAAAGAAACTTTTCTAGACTACACACTTCCCTTCTGGGTTTTCAAGTTCTAAGGGACAGTCCAAATAAATTTCTTCACAGAGTTCACCATCTAGGAATGCATTTTTAACGTCTAATTGCATTAGTGGCCAATTAAGGTTAATTGCTAGTGATAGCAAGACCTGAACAATATTGTGCTTTGCAACAGGGGCACATGTCTTGGTAATCATTTACATCCAAAGTCCTCTTACGTGTTGGCAGATCAGTGAGCTCTCACCTCCCATTCTCTAACAGGGCTCTTATCTCTTCCATGACGACACTTCTCCATTCAGAGGATTGAAGTGCTTCCTCTATGATTTTTGGAGTTTCTACGTGATCCAAATGAGTGACAAAAGCCCGATGACGGGCAAGTGATCGTTTTTCATAGGCAACAAAATTGGAAATGGGGTGTTTGGTACAAGCTCGAGCTCCCCTTCAGGAGGGCAATTGGAAGATTTTTGATACTTGTAACATTTGAGGGAGAAGCTGCTAGTAGTATCTTTTATGAACAGGTTCCCGTGTTAGATTCTTGGGAACCATGAGTCATTTACTTATCCATTCCGGTAAAGTGATGTCCCTTCAAATAAATAAGCAAATCAGGAACCTGGGGACTTGAGCTATGGGGTCTTCATGGCTAATGGTTAGTACTTTTATCAATGTATCTAATTGATGTCAAAGATTTTTGGTTGAAGTGAGGAGGCTTGAAATAGTTGCCAAATCTCCCAGCAACCAGAGAAGATAAAAGTACCCTAAAAAAGGAATTCTTTTTGTAAGACACTAATTGGTGTTTGCAGGCTGAGAACTTTTGATGGGAGTTTATTGACGAGGTAACATGTGGTAAGACCTGCTTCACCCAAAGATATTTGGGAGTGTGCATGGTAAACATTATGCCACGTGCTACGTCTAGTAAGTGGCGGTTCTTCTGTTTAGAGACACCATTTTGTTGTTGGTGTTTGGACATGAACTTTGGTGGATAATCCCATGATCAAAGAGGTGGTTTCCTAGGGTGGAGTTAAAAGTATTCCCTACCATTATAGGTCATGTGGATTGTGGTTTGACACTGATTTAGATAATGGAATGGAAGGTTTGAAAGTTCTTTGTGGCTTTTGGTTTGTCTTTAAGAAGATATATCCACCAATGTATGGTTATCAATTTGTTAGACCCCAAAATTCTTACATTTAAAAGTATTGTAAAATGATCAAGTGCTGAAGACTAGACACCCAATGAAGAGAAACCAGACATAGGCCATGAAGAAACAGAGATGCCTAACCTGATAATTACCTACTGATGAAGAGTCCCTCTGGTCTATGAACAGAGCCTCTCTAGAAGCCCTTCTAGTCTTCAGCTGCTGATGGAATGCTTAAGTCACCAACTTTTGTCTAGTTAGCTCTTGCATAACAACTGACACATGGAGTCTCTTGATTGGACATGCCACCTAAAGACAGTTTTTCAACTTTACACATGGCAGTCTGTAATTCATCAGTGCTTGACTTTGTTATCTAGGAGGTTATAAATAGTTGTTGAACTGCATTCTGTTAGACATCCTTCACGCTAGCTTTGATTATTACTGGGTGTAATTCCATTTGAATATTTGCAATTGGAATCAAAGCTTTTCTCTCAAATATCAATGAAGATGATGATGCCACCAACTATTCTTGATCACTCATAGCTGTGTAGGAATTCTTCATAACCCAAGGAATAGATCGTTGTCCTCAACTTTAATTTTCTTACATCTATTCACAGATTAAGAGAACTGGGATCTGTCACAATTAAAGTGGGGATATTTTTTATGCGGTTAGGTCCCCAAATGTCATCATGAATTAATGAAAATGGTTGCGAGGTAACTTATGGTTTGAGTGGATAGGGAACACAAGTATGTTTAGACAATTGACATATCTCACACATAAGGGAACCAACATCTTTATTTAGAATAGTTGAGGAAATAAATGTTTGAGGTACTTCAAATTTGGGTGCCTTAATCTACGATACCACAACAGGATTGTATCATTTATTGGAACATAAAATTGTAGAACTAGAATATGCTTCTTATTCGTGGATTCATTACTTTCCCAAATATAGAGTCCATCTTCGACTTTAGCATTGCCAATCGTCCTCTCCTATCCCTGTTCGTGTTCTTGTACAAGGAATCAGTAAAGGAGAATAGAACAAGGTACTTCAATTAGTACAGGAGAATAGAGCAATGTACTGGTTATCGTGAGTGAGTTTATGAATAATTTTGGAACATGAAGCACTTCGGTTAGTGTAAGTTGATCTGTGAGATGTACAAAACCTGTGCCCACAACCGCAAAGAAGGACCCATCAGCCATTCTTCCTCGAGATTGGTTGTGACATGGACTATATGTGTGAACCGAGGAGTTGCCGGTCATGTGATTGGAAGCTCCAAAGTCAAATATCTATGTAGAAGTACCGTTGGATTTTGAGAAGGCACTAAGAGCAGTACCTTGAATTGGTTTACTGAGGAGCAGGAGAAGTATGTCTAACTAAGTTATGTTTAATTGGACAGTCATTACTACTTCTGAAGTTGGTGGAGTACCCGGTAAAGAGGTGGAAATCGTATGATGTGCCTTAGCCATGGACTGATTCTTGTTTCCCATGGGTATCCATGAATTTGTAACATTTTTAACGAGCGTGGCTTGATCTGACCATACACATCTCCTAGTTTGTTCTGCCAAGACTCTCCTAGTCGAGGCTTAAAGGTGTACCCTTGGTGATAGGTGCAGAGGTATTGATTGGCTGCTACCACTGTTGGTGATTCATTTGGCTTCTTTTTGTTCTCCAAGCATCACCTGTCAGCGGTTTTCTTCATGGTGAACCTCCGCAAATGCTTCACCAATCGATGGTAAAGGTGTTTGACCCAAAATTCTCCCACGTATCTTATCTAAATCTTGATTTAAACCTGCTAGGAAATCATAGTGTCTCTTTCTTTAAGTGGGCCTTGAATCTGACATGTTCTTTGACTTCTCCTTCTTCGACCTCTCCCCAATCAGCTTCATAGAACATTTAAGTTTCTTGCATAAATTTTTTAGAGAATTATAGTAGTTAGTTACTTCAGATATACCTTGAGGTATCGCTTTCAACTTCATCTTGATCTCAAATGCTTGAGAGGCCTTTCCCAAGTCAGAGTAGTTTTCATTTACTGCTTCCCATATCTCCTTTGCAGTCTTGAATAGTAGATAAGTACGACTGATGTTGCTTTCCATAGAATTGATGAGCCACGCCATCACCAATTGAGTTGTTGAGTTCCCACAACTCATTATTTATCAGTTTGATTGGGCAAGGAATGTTGCCAGTGAGATATCCCAATTAGGGGTGTAAAAGGTACGAGACAACTCGTGAGCTACTCGAGATCGACTCGGTCAGAGCTCAGTCAACATTCGACTCGAATAGGCTCGAATCAAACTCGAGCTTGACTCGACATATTAACGAGTTGAGTCAAGCTACCCATTACTCGACTCGAAAAGCTCGTGAGATACTCGATTATTTTATATATAGTTAGTTTTAAAATGTAATCAATTTTTATGATAAAATTTGTAAAATATAAATAATAAAAATGTCTCATGTTTAGATATTTAAACAAAATTATGCGTTTTTTGATTATAAAAGTTAATCAATTATTTTTTTATTAAAATCACAATTAAAAAAAGACCAAAAAAAGTATAAAAAAGGTTAGTGAAATTGTACCACATTGGAAGAGAGATGGTAAAGGAAGGCAGAAAAGATGTTATAAAAGAGAGGGAGGTGAATGAAATTTCTAACTTTGTCTTTTTGATGATGAAGTTTTAAGTTGATCTCTTTAGTTTTAGAAAAACTAAAAGAACACCTTTAAGTTTTAAAATTTATAAGAGAACGACCTTAAAATTTCATAAATTTCAATGGGTGAGTTTGATTCAAGCTTGATTCGAGTTTGAGTTCGAGCTTGATTTGAGTTGCAGTTCGAGCTTGTTTTGAGCTCGAGTTCGAGTTCAAGCTTGAGAAATAGTTATCGAGTTCGAGTCGAGCTTTGTTTTTTACTAGTCGTGAGTTTTCGAGTCGAGTTCGAGCTTGAAAATTGGGTTTCGAGTTCGAGTCTAGTATGGTGATACTCGAGCTCGACTCGCATCATTTACACCCCTAATCCCAATTTACCCCTTCCTCGAATAATTATCAGGATGATTGAGACCACTACTACCAATATTCTTCCCATCAAGTTTCTGAGTGGTAATCACCAATGGAAGTTATCAATGTACATTGTGATCTGAGACTTGGTAGATAATTCGGGTATGGAGGTCTCGTTTATCATGATGATGGATAGAAGATGGCGATTAACAAAAAGTTAATCACAAAAATGGTCAAGTCATGCTGGAGTGCAACGATAAATGAGAGATAAGTGATCTGAAGAGGACTCAGATGAACTAGGAGAGGAACAGAAGAGCTTTAGGATCTTATAGCTCTGATACCATATAGAATTTAAGAGGGGGAAAAAGTTTCTGTTTATTCCGTCACTATGGAGAATACAATATTTATAGGTTAATCTACAACAAACAACTTCTATAATAAATAGAAGATGCAACTAACAACTCCTAAAGACTAGGAACAAATAATTATGGCCGGTAATCAGTCAAGATTGATTTTCTGATAATCCTACGGAATGCTATATATGTGCGTGTGCGTGTGTGTGTGTGTGTGGAAACAGAGAGCTGAGAATATAATCCATGGAATACAGTTTTAGACAGCTAGTATAATTTACTTTCAATCCAATGAACATAGTGTCCCCCAGATGTAGGCGTCTTTGTATTGTCATTCCTTTCTGATCCTCATTGCCGATTGAAACATGGAATTTGAAATTAAAATATATCCTTGATATTTTTTGAAAATTGGAGGTACAAAATTTCTAGCGACTGAGGGAGAATATGGATAACAGTTTTCCTATTACACATGGGAATCGATTTTTCATTGTTGGCAGCTATATATAGAGAAGCTCTTTCTAGTTCTTGTTGCAAGCAAGTGCTACAGGCCTCGAGTGGAGATTCATGCTCATTAAATGTTTCACATACATATAACTGTTTGTAGCATCGAACAAATGGCAGATGTTGGATTTTAGTTAAACTTAACGTTATTCAAAACTGTCAATTATGTTGGGAAGTGACAAATCAGATTCTCGTTTCTTTTCATCTGTTAAATGCTATGACATGTATTTGAGCATCATTTCATGCTTAACTGTTAGTATATTTGTCGAAAGGGAATAATCCACATTACACTTGTTGATTAGCTTATGTTTACTGTTTCTAGAAGCTTAAATAGTAATATCTTATTGAAAAGTGTATCATCCATGTTAACAGATGTCAAATCGTATCTAACTTTTCTAGAAGTACATTGATTCTTTATCAGAAATAGAAAATAACAAGCCATAGCCTAAAAATATAGCTTTTTATGTTGAATGCATCTTTGGTCTTAGCCCACCATTAACTTGTACAAGTAATAAATTCTTGCCTGGGGTTCCGTTCCCTTTACCCAAAAAAGTTACATGTACAAGAAGCTCTATTATTTTTTATTTTGAGAATTCATTTAATAATGTTCTTGCTTGACATTCGTGATCTACAGTCTTCCCTTATTAAGTCATGTCTTCAAATTAAGTATGTAAGTTACAGGGTGGAATGCTAAAACGTGTCCTTGAGGAGGTTGAAAAGGTGATACATGAGTTTAAAGGCATGCTTTACCAGTCGATGGAAGATCCACAGATAGATCTAACAAATGTAAGGCCAATATATATTTTTCCTATGCATATTTATAATTTTTTGATTATGTTTCAAGGCTTCCTAAATGTTTTGGGTTCATTTCTATCCTACCCTGACTGGATTGGGTAAAAGGCTTCTTTTTGCTTTATGTTATGAAGAAAGAGTTGAGGGAATTACTTCAATTCTTGTTATTCTAAAAAAAAGAGATTAGTACCCTGCATATATACAAACGTTTCCTAATTTTATAAGAATCCCACAATATGCTGAAGATTAAATTATTCCTAATCTAAAATATGATAATAAGCTATATGAGATCAAACCAATCAAACCCAACATCAGAATAATAACCTATTATAAAACATTCCTAGTTCATTTACAATTCTACATGTATGACAATGTTTTTGGAAAATTAATTATTCGCAAACTACTTACTCTAGTAGAATCAGACCCCAATCTAATTGGAAATAAGCAATCTAATCTATTTTATTATTTCAGTTCTTTATTGTTTCACTTTTGCTATAATTCTACACAAGTTACAAAGATAACTAGAGATGGTGATGACATGGCAAACTGATGAGATGCATGCTTCGTTTTTCACATTAGTTCTAGGAATGTGATATCAATTATCGGGACTAGCTCATGTTGTCCAATGAACAAGGTGCATTTGAAGTTATCTTATGATCATGAGCATTTCTAGGGTCACTGGATGCTAGTAGTACTTTTACTATTTTTTGCTGTGTAATGAAGTTCTTGACATTTCTTGTAGCTTGAGAATGTTGTGAGGCTTCTGTTGGAGTTGGAACCTGAGTCAGATCCTGTGCGGCGTTATTTTAGCATACAGGTGAGAGGCCGATACTATACATGGTTCTACTGTTTCTTCACAGTTGCTCAAAACTAATATGATTATAAAATGTATACTCTAATTAGATAGTTAAAGTCTCATTTAAGGATCGTATATTTATACAATTATATATTTTATCCATTTTGTGGTAATCACCTTTCATTGACTTTTGAAGTCAAATGGACTACCTCATCTTCAAATTATGTAGCAGTTTAAATTTAAATAAAATTGATAACATGTAATTGTATGACAAGTATCATAAGTAGGATAAACGTGTTAAAAGCTACTAATAATTCATATTCCCTTTGAAAGTACTTGATCTGACGTTGAAATCAAAATACGCCTTAACAGAGAATGAAGAGTAGATTTGTTTATATCTGTTGAATGTTTATGTACATATAAGCTTTTGCCTAGGAATTCAGATTCTTGTCCTATTATTGGAAATATTATACTTGAAGAAATGTATCTGCCAGACGTGTAGAGCTTTTCTCAAATTTAATCTGCTTGTAGAACTTTCCTCATCCATACTTACATTAAATCTTTTTCATCCAAATTCAAACCAATGTCAGGTAGTTGTTGCAACATACATCCAGGCAAAGTCTGCAAAGTAATACGTGCATTATATTATTGGATCTTATAGTTAGGGGCACTAAGTTTCGAGAACATTTTTAATCGATTAAGGGGGAGGAAACTGAACCTCCCCAGAACAACGAATTACCACCTAGGTAGTGGGCTGAATACCATTCCAGAGAAATAGTTGATGATTGGCTCTTGATACTTGTTGTTTCCTACATCTTTTTGTCACTGGTGAAACTTGTTGGAAAGAAGGGAATTCATAAGAAAGGAATTTGTATCAATCATCTTCCTGCTGTTTAGGAAGGGATTTGTTATGTGTAGAAAGTAAATATTTGTCCAGCAGGTTAATTGCTCTAAATTAGGTGGTTTTCTTGTTACCTTTGTATCATAAATATTTTACATCCCTGTGAAGAAAAGTTATGGTTCAAAAGATCTTCAATTCTCTGTGTCTCAAAATAACTTATCTTAAAAATATGTGACACTAATATTTGGGACGTTGTTTGGCTCTTAGAATCGTAGGATTCGATGTCTGCTTGAGAAGTGCACATCAGATCATGAATCAAGGATGGAAACCTTGCAAAATAAGCTACATGAGAAAGCATTGTCAGATGAAAAGTGGAAGAAAATCCAGCAAGACTTACACGAATCTGTGAGCAATGTCATTCCCCTGTCCATTTATGAACAACTTACAAATACCTTCTCTTTCTGTAGATATATCAGATATCCATTCTGTAATTTGTTATCTCAAAACTTTGTATTATGTACTTCTTTAGGCAGATGTTGATTGCTCCCTCCGATATCCAAGCAACTTGTTCGTAGATACACAAACAAGTGATTCAGGTTCTGATGAACTTGACGCTCTTAGAGGAAGGTATATACGAAGATTAACAGCTGTACTTATCCATCATATACCCTCCTTTTGGAAAGTGGCCCTTTCTGTTTCAAGTGGAAAATTTGCAAAGGTAAAGGCTCCCTGCATTAGCTTTAGCTTGCAAAGTTAATATTATATTTTAGTACCTGCTAAACCTTCTAGGACAGGTAATTACGTTATCAAACTACAGTGAAGCTTTTATCCTGAACTAGTTGGTGTAGGTTAAAGATGAAACCCAAAGAAATTACAAAATCATGCAAACCAAATGCAAACATAATAGGTGAATCCCTAAGGGTATCGGGAAATGAATGGTGTCATTCCACATGGTCCTACCATAGGCCAGGTCTTTGTTTCATAACACTCTGTCAAATCTTCTTCATAACTAAATGAAAATGTGATTTTTCATTATATCGATGCAATACATTTTGTTTTCAGTCACCGATGCATGATCATGATGCAAGTACACAAAATGTCCACATGCTCTAGCATATGTGTGCATAAAGGGACACGTGCATGTTTTTGTGTCATTGTTTGTGTGTACTAGTGTGATGCTATTTTAACACATATAATCACTCCCGTTAATCTATTATTTACCTTTATATATTAGTTGAGTGTTTCTTTATGTACTTTATAATTAATGTGCCGGTCTCTAGTCTGCGGTAGGTCATGTTGTGCTCTTCATTTAAGATCATGAATATTGATATCTATTTGACGACCAAATTAGTTTAAAATGAATCAACATCTCTCCTAGACGTTTACCTTGTTTTAGGATATGCATGGTGGCAAATTTGAAGATTTTTGGAGGAAAGGCATGTCTTCTCTCTTCTCTTTGAGAAGAGTTCTCATTATTTACTCAAACCAATACCCCAAGATATTACAAGACCTTTAGCCTATAAAACAACTTATATGTGTATATAATAAAAACTTTTAGCCCATAAAACAACTTTTATATATGTATACGCATATATTTCCTCACCTAGGAAAACAACATATGTGAAATAAATATTGGCTTGATTTGTTGAATAAAATCTTGATGATTAGCTAATATCTTTGACACCCCCCCTTCAAATAGATGATGGTAAAATTACGTACATTAATTCCAACAAGTAAACTATGGTGTTCATGAGCCAAATATTTGATGAAGATATATCTAATCTACATCAAAGCTGTTAAAAGCTCTGAGGCGCATAAAGCTCAAGGTCTTGGGCTTTTTTAAAGGTGAGATGAGGCGAGGCGAGGCGAGGCGAGGCGTAGCGTATTCACAAGGCTCACCAAGGCGATGCACCTTGACTGAGTCGCCTTTTGGGCCTAGGCACGTCTCATGAAGAGTTATCAACTACCCCGTCAAACCCTATTTCTCATTTTCTCATCTCCTAGACTTCTTAAAGAAGAATTACTAAATAGACCACATAAGTCAAACCTTTCTCCCTTCTGCCTCTATAGATGTAATGTTGGTTGTTGCATTGGAGGCTTGTACTTGCTGCATTGGACTCTTGTATGCTAAACTCTATTTGAGTTGTGCATAACTGTATATATATATATAGCGCTTCATGCTTGCGCCTTGCTAGGCCCCAGAATCCCTTTGCGCCTAAGTGCACCTTGAGCTTTTAACAACTTTGATCTACATAATGATGGAGATACGTGGAATGTTGCTAACCCGGTGATCATATGCCTCTATAATGATGTGGCAGTCAATTTCAATGTGTGTTGCATGCTTATGGTAGACAAACTTGGCAACAATTTTGATGACGTTAGTGTTGCCAGCATGTAAAGGAGTTGGTTCAACTTAGGGAAAATAAAGTAATACGAGACCACTTAACCAATTTTTTTTCAGAACATGTAGGACACATGGTGCAATACTTGGACTCGTGTACGACTGCAACACATATTTATGCTTTTTGCATTTTACACGAGGTAAGAGAATCAACAAGAATCATACACTATGCGGTAGTAGATCTCTGTATCTAGACAATCACCCAAAATGGGATCACTAAAGGTTTATGGCTTTAGAGAGGAGTCTTTAGAGAAGCATAGGCCATAACTAGTGTGCCAAGGATGTGACAGATGACGCTTTTGATTACAGTTAGGTGGAAATGTGGAAGGGATTTGGTGAATTAATCCGTTGTGTGGACAACTTAAGAAATATCTTGTTAAATGATGATTAAAGAGATTAGACTACCAACCAACTTCTGAATACAAAGTATAATCTTCAAGAACCTTTCCCTCACTTTGTTGATATTTTACATTAATTGCCATGTGGGTGTCTACTATATGATTTCTTGTCACTCACACTAACTATACCAAATCTTGAATACATTTGTGTTGATCCAAAAAAATTCTTATGCAGATTAAACCCTAAGATGTAATTGGCCAGGGTCTTTCATGTGGAAAGTAGAATGTAATAATTTTTTAATCTCGATAGTAGTCTTCATATTCGAACACAAACAAAAATATCATCCACATAAACAAGAAGAATAACTATTCCATTGGGTTGTCTTTTGAATAAAAAGGAATCAAAATGGCTTTGAATAAATGAAAAACAAAGAAAAGTACATCGAAACTTTTCGAACCCTTGCGTGTTTCAATCCACATACTGAGCTTTTCAGTATCCAGATGGCATTAGTGGAAAAGGCATACATACCATGGGAATTGTTATGTAAACTTCTTTGAGATCACCATGTAATAATTTATCCTTGACGTCCGAAGTAGAGGCCATGATTAAAATGTAACAAGCACTAATATAGGGCGCACGGTAGTCATATTGGCTAACTATGCACAATTCTCATTGTAGATTTGGTCATACTCTCTTTTGTTCCCAAGAACTACTAGCCAAGCCATGTATGATCAATGGACCCATCAAAATGGAGCTCAATAAAAAATACAAACTTGCCGCTCTGACCAAAGGTTTCATTGATGGAGGACATGCTACAACATCCTGAGTTTTGGTTTTCTTACAATTCAAGAAGTTACGTTTCAATAGCTTTCTACGAGCACACATGCTCCAATGTTTGTTTTAAAAGATGAATGAATAGGAACAGAGGACAAGGTGGGTGTAAAGGATACAGGAATAGGAAAACCATACCTATTTTGCTGGAACTGGATCTACAACAAGAGAATCAGATTGAGGGGCTTTGGAACTGTAGTAGTTTGATGGCACATGGTATGCTTGCTTCTATGATAAATAAATAGCAGTTACAGAGAAGAAAGTTCTGCGAAAACAAATTAGTAAACAAGGAAAGAACAGGAGATGAAGATCAAACATGATCTCTGTAAGAGGAAAAGAATACTGATACCAATGTTCTATGATCACATTTCTGGAAATTAATTATTCCTATTGGGGAGAACAGGCCATTCGGAGGGGGGATTCTGAAATTGCGGTGGCTTAATTTGACCAAGCTGCTGAGTGTCAGAAACAGATTTTAGCACTTACTCTTGCTAATTAGTTTGAAAAGAAATATAATCATAATTATTTTAATAAAGAATATTAACTACAATTACTAATATGGTACCATTTATGTAAGATATTTTTTGAATTGTATTTACAATGATGAATGTGTATTAATTAGAGTCTATTAAAGTAGTTAAGAATATATAATATAGTAAGATAATAGAATAAATATATAAGACATGGCACACATAAAGATCATGGTAAGTAAAACCTTTCTTGTGACTTGAATATCCTAGGCAAGCACATTTGGGCGATTGAACTGTGAGTTATCTGCGTTCTTTTGTAAGCAGATGAATATATAACACATACAATTGATATGGCCAATAATCTAGTAAAGGGAGAGATGTAGTTTAATCAGGGACAGATGGTATGTTAATAAGGTGCACTGCAGTAGCAAGAGGTTCATACCAGAACCTAGAGGGCACAATTCACTCTAATAAAATATTTTGAGCAACATCAACCCCTCCATTTTAATCCTGACTCAATTTAACAGTTGCGGGTTCAATCCAACCTGCCTGTTTTAGCATATTTATTTATCACTATCAAATTAATTGGTGTCTTAACCCACAGTATGACAATTTCTTGATGTGGATGTGGTCTGGAGGCAGCAGCAGACTGACTGGAGAATCAAGAAATTGTCATGGACTTAAAGTCAACCAATGGTTGTTTTACTTCCTTTATCCTACATTGAGGAGGTTTTGGTAATCCTAATCTAAAGTCAAGCAATGGTTGTTGCCTTACCATACTCGATCACTTCATAGGAATGTGAGGATACAAGCATGGAGTTTGTAGACTTGTAAAATGAGCATCAACAGCCTGCCATATTACAAATGTGGTGTTCCTCATTTATGCAAATGCTTTAAAAAATGGAGGAAATTGTTGGACATTGAGGCAAGCTAAAAGGCCAAAGATACTCCGGAAATCTGAAGACAAACTCCAGAAGTATTTTACAAGGAAGATGCAACAAGGAGATCATGTACTTGAGTAGAAGTACGTCAAAGCTTGCAATGAGGAAGCTTTCTATACACCCTATGTGAATTGGTGGATGCATCAAGGTTTTAATAGAATCCTCGCGAATTCTATCAGGAAATATATGAATAGGGAAAAATCTTGTAAATACTTGAAGATTTCTTGGATTTTATACATCAAACATATGTCTTCGAACATTCTAGTTCATAGATCTTAGCTGGTAATTTTAAATGATTTGCATCAAGAAGCTGAACAGTAATCATAAGGCTTCCCCATATGTTTGCAAAGCATCAAGCGAAGTTGTATTTGCACAAAGGAATACAGGATTTCTTTCAAACATCTTTCTGTTGTGATTTGTTGAGTGCTCCTGAATGTTTAGGTAAAAACCCTATTAATTTGGATGGCTACTTAGCATTAATAGAGGACTTCTACTGCTAAGGCTAGATGCTTGATCAAGGAAACCATTAACACCATGACATAAAGCTTGCATGCTTATAAATGTGGAGGGTTTAAAGAAACCCTTAATACTGAGATTGAATTTTGAATATATAACTGATGAACACAACAAAACCCTAATTTTAACCATAATCTTAATAAAAATCAACAATCGGAACAACTTCTACAGTTCCTTGTCATTTCCTCCTTGCCCCATGTATATTGTTCATTTGCACCATATTGTGATAACAAAACAATCCGAGCTACTTAGGGGCTGTTTACTAAACACTTACCCGTACCGGGCAATTTTCCTCACCAAATGAACATGGCAAGGGCCGAGAATCTTACACGGTAAGAGTGATGATAAGGATGGAGAGTCTTACCCAGTAAGTGAGGATGACGACTCTTACCCGGATAAGCGCTTACTGTTAAATTGTTGCATAAGATACCGTTTTGATGTACTACAATCTTACCTTGTAAAATAAATTATAGTGTTGACTCCGTAAGCGCTTATAGGGTAAGCATTTGGGTAAACGGCCCCTTAGATGTGTATCTCGAAACAAATAAAAGTAGATCAAACTAATTTGTACCACTCATGTGGAAATGCTAGAAGCAGATGCCATTCTCATTTTCCATCAAATTGCATTAATAGTTATGGAATAGGTGTCACTACAATGTACCTTATTCTCAAACCTTAAATCTTGTACATGGAACGACCTTATCCATCAAGTTTACAAGTACGCTATCAAGTTGTTGCAATTAATGTGGTAGTGCTGATAGCTGGTCCATACAAAAGCGTATTTTTAGGTACTTGGACAAAAGTGAACTAGTTTTGCATCTCAAATCTGTTGCTTTGTCTTCATAAACTTTTCCATTTGTCTTCTTATTTCAAAAGATGTTCATTTCCCTCCTATATTTATATTAATACATTGTTTGGTCTGGAATGTTTCCCTTAATATCTCCCCAGGTTTCTGAGCAAAATATTAGTACACCTGCAAATATGACTGAAGAAAAAGCAGGCCATCCTCTTGAAGTTGCTTCTGGAATGATACACAATACAATATCAGCGTATGAATCCAAGGTAGAAGTTTTTTCAGGAAATCTTGGTCATATTTCCTAAAGTGAGATTATGTTAGAAATCGTTATAGTTTCAATTGCCTAGATGGTTCATAATAGCTGATGACTAGAAAGATTTGTTTCATGTAGAAATTTTGTTGTTCTTTTTCTCTTACAAAGAAGGGCATTGGCGTTTTATACACTTAAGGAGCCAAATAAGGATCCTTGAAATCATGGAAGGATTCCCTCTAAAATGGAAACTAACCTATTATAGCAGTTATGTACAAGTGTTATATATGGTAAAATAATATTCTCACATTCTAAAAGGTGAAGCCAATTATAACAAAGTAATCCTAGTGACATGGCTCAATGTTTGTCTTTGCAACAATGGATTGTTTCTTAATTCTCAATGTGAGGAGATTACCCTACATAAATGTATAGTAACCTGAGGTAGACCTCCGTTAGAGAGATATATGGCCCAATTTGCTTTGGTGAACATTCTTCTATTTGAAACCTTTGGTTAAGTACTATTCCTTTACCCAGTGTACTTTTGACATACCTCAGGATCTGATATACTACATCCATTTGTTTCTATATGGGACTGCTCATCAATTGGCTTACAACACTTATCGGAACCCATGTCGGGTGAATGGTATATTAGTTTTCCTATACTCCAGGATCTGATATGCTACCTCCATTTGTTGCTCTGTGGGACAATTCATAAATTGGTATACAACATTTACGGAGAACCCTATCTCGGGTCTTATGTGTGAATAGTATATTAGTTACGATTTACTATTGACTAGGTTTTCGGTTTTTGGGGTATTTATTTCAAGATTGGGTCTCTACCAGTTCCCATTCACGTTTTTTCTTTTTCTTGTCACTGAATTTTCCCACTACCCATTGGTACTATCCTTTTTGTCTTTTGTCTAATGGAGTATTGTCTTGTTTGAATCTTACTTTTTGGATCCATTGTTGTGTCGGCTGGTTTTACCCTAGCATTTGGTTCTTTTGAGTGATGAAGATTCCTTATCTTGATCTAGTGACTTCCTTTTTGAAGAAATACTTCAAATTTCCAAGATAATTAATCTTAAATTCTTTTGACAACAGGCTATTTAGACAAACAACTTCTACGTGATCATTATCGTCAAGACTATATCACCAAGATAGACAATGAGAATGATTACCTTCGGATCCAAGGTATGCTTGACAAAAAGGGTGTTATCTACTTGGCATGAGTGTATCCGGTCCCTATGAGAACCTTAGCTAACCTTTCGAACCATGCGTGATACTGTTTAAGATATTTGAGGGACTTTTAGAGCTTGTGTACTTTGCCTTCAGTTGCCTTTGTGTGAAATCTAGTGGGACGTTCATAAAAACTTCTTTAAGATCGCCAATGAGAAGGCGTTTTCTTACATCAAGTTGGTTTAATGGTCCTTTAGGTTTTTAGCATAGATAACAATCCTTTGGTGGTGTTTAACTTGCAAATGATGTGAAAGTTTTTTTGGTAGTTTATTAGTAAACCCTTTACGCACCAACCCTGACTTGTACCCCTTAACTTTCCCTCATAATTATACTTAACCGAAAACATCTATTTGGAGTCTATGGTTCTTTTTACCCTGGAGGAGGATTTGTAATTTCTCATGTGTCATTCTTTATCCAAAAAGAAAAAAAATCTCCCATGTGCGACTCTTCTCTAAACCTTGATTTCTTCAAGCGTTGCAGCCTTCCATGCTAGGATTTCCATTGCCTCGTGAATTGCTGTGGGAGAGAACTTAAGTTTCATCTGGTCTAGACACAAACACACGGTAATTGGGTGACAGTTCCTTGTAAGAGATGAAATTTTTGTTGGACGTGAATTACATGTACGAACCCCTTCCTTGGACCAATAGGTAGTTTTGAATTATCTACACTAGTAGACTTGCTAGAAAGCATACCTTGAGATTGACCATGAGATTCAATTGAGACTCCGACACTTTTGAGCTTCCTTGTTAACCATGGTTTCTTTTTTACATCTGAGATGTGTATTTTCTGTCAGTGAAGTATGGTCGGCTGAAGGATCTGCACAAGGCTCAGATTTGGATCTTCGTAGGTTGTTTCGGTAGAAACTGCTGGAAGAGTTTGTGATTGGATTGGTTCAATGTGAATATCTTCAATCATGAGAGGATGGTTAGTCATACCCCTACGATTAATCGTGTAGTATGGTCAATTTTCAAAGAACATGACATCCATGGAGGTGAAAAAAATTGTGCAAAAGGGAACAACATTTAAGCCCTATTTGATTTGGAGTAGCCCAAGAAGATGCATTTGGAGTCATCAAATGGAAGATACATCTATGGTAGCTGACTTATCTCTTGATGTTTCTTTCTTCTCCCATCTGTTACCAAAAGTTTGGTGGATATTTATGAGAACTAGTTATATTATTCTTACTACTATACTAGTTAGCAGTTCTGGTGGAAGAGACCGTGGTGCAAAGGCACATCTGAAGGGGCCCTTTTTTAGGGTTAATATGTTATAGGTCAACAAAGAAGTGAAATCTTTGTCATGTCTGGTGAGATGAGTTTGAACAGGTCAGCTGTAAGAAAACAGGAATGTAGAGTAGTAATAGTGGAGAACAAGAACCACATAAGTAATAGTGGTCCTAAGAGGATTAAAAGCAAACTCAACCATTACAATAGTAATGAGGCTACTTATAAGATAATAAGAAACAAGGATGCAGATTAAGAAGGCACAATTGTCTTGATTGGAACTATGGATTTGTGAAGCTATGTAAACTCAATTGTGGATTTTGATTAAAGATGCTATGGTTGGGAACCATTTCCTTTCATTCTTCTCCTAGTCCTGGTCGTTTTTTGTTATACCCCGGAAATGTGGTCAAACAAGTCAAATAGGTTGGGCTATGGGAGAACTATACAAGTGGTTACTGCAGTGGTACAAGTAGGTTAAGCAATTTAGTGAAGTCGGTTAATAGTTTTTACCTAGTATAAATAAGGAGACGATGAGTGTAAGGTGGGTATCGATTATTCTATTGTGTTTGAGATTGGTGAAAGCCTTTGGAAGACATCCAACTTTTCAAATTGTTGGAACTTGGAAGCCTATGTTCCATCATTTGCTTTAAGTTCTAATTTCATATTGAAGTCATCTTTGTGTACCAATTTCATTGTTAATTGCTCGGTTTGTATCACTTTTTTGAGTAATCATATTGAGGGTATCTCAATTGCTCCTCCATCTATTTAGCTGATTTGTATTTGTATGCAATACCAATTGGCAGATGTGAAATACCTACTTGAGTCTTATAGAATACCTAGGCTACAAGTTGGGTAAAAGCTTTAGAGAAGTAGGAGGAATATTATTTTCTGCTATATGTCGATTACAACATAAGGAACTATATATACAAGTAGAGGTTAGGAGATAGACTACAACTACAACTCCTAACAATAAGGGATAAGCAATTATCTACTAACGTTTCCTTATTAGAGTCTATCTATAACTCTCCATTAATCCATATCCGATTACTATTCTACACTCCCCCTTAAGCTGGATGGTATATGTTATCCAATCCAAGCTTGCCTTTTAATGTGTTGAATAGTGGTAAACTTAGCTCTTTAGTGAAGATGTAGGCCGCTTGTTGAGTGGTAGAAATGTAGGAGACTTTCAAGATTCCATTGTCAAATTTTTCCTTGATAAAATGCCGATCCACCTCAACATGTTTTCTTCGATCATGATGAACTGGATTATGTGTCATGGCGATAGCAACTTTATATCACACCAAATAGTCATCGGGTGTAGTACCCGGATTCTTAGTTAACTCGGTAATTATAACGAGAATTATGTAAAATAAATCTCTCAGACTGCTAAAAAATGGAGACTAGTGCAAGTATACACTCATCAATCCACTATCGTCTTTTACAAGTAATAAAGTGGTAAAAATACCGAATATCGTCCACGGAGAAAAAGGAATAAAAGTTCGTTTTAATAGTATAAATAAAGATATGATCGCAGATGGTGAATTTGAGGAAATATTTGTGGTGAGTTGATTAAACACTAGTGTTGTGAACAAGTAATAAAAGAGAGCTTAGGGTGCAGGGATTCGTTAAGATATTAAACCGATTTTTAAGTAGACAGCATGCTACAGCATGGTTCTATAGCATGCTTTATAAATAACTTATCTTTACAACTAATAGCTTCTTTAAGGTACTCTCTCGAGATATAGAATGGCACACAGTCATAGATTGAACCTTCATATCTCTATGCAAGGCTGGAATCTTGACGTTGGCTCAAACTATTCCTTTTATAAGCTAAATGGAGCGAAAACGAGTCTCCTCGATTCTAAGTAACTCTCTCGAGCCTACTTCCATATCATTCAAGTTGACGTGTGCTTGTTGATTTATCTCTAAATCCAACACACTTTAACACTTTTAAACAAGTGATCAACTTGTCCATGGATGATGTTTTTGCAATGAAAACTTGAATGACGTAGTTGTAAAGATTTATAATTTATATTTCTACTAACGAAATCGGTTTTTCTTTTAACATCACCCAACACCCAAGCTATATTTTTAGCCTAACATACTTGAAAAATTAATTGCGTCAATAATAAAGCATAAGAAAGGAAAAGAAAGTAGAAGAAATAAATGCTAAGCGGAATTATAAAAGCGATTAACGATATTTGAAATAGAAAAATTAATTGCATAAATAATAATAAAGCATGATAAGTAGAACACAAGAGAAGAAAAGAAAGTAGAAGAAATAAATGTAAAGAGGGATTATAAAAGAGACTTAAAATACTTTAACTAATAATGTTGATTGCATAAATAATAAAGCATAATAAGGAGAGCATAAGAGAAGAAATAAATGTAAAGAGGAAAGATAAAAGAAGACTTAAATGTAAATGAAATACTTCCAAAGTTACTTGCAAAAGTTCTTACTTTCCAAATGACTTCCTTACTTGACTCCCGTTTTACAATGCCAAGCCTCCCCCCTTTATATAGTGGGAGAAGCCGAGAAGGGAGGATAAGGACCAAA